TTTGAAACGTCGATGCCTTATTCTCCTCAGCAGAATTCTATAGCTGAAAGAGCTAACAGATCGATTTGTGAAATTGCGAGATCTATGATGATGGACAGTAAGTGCGATAAATCATTGTGGGCAGAAGCCTGTAACACCGCTGTTTATTTAAAAAATCGAAGTCCCCATGTAGCATTGAAGGGAAAAATCCCTGAAGAAATTTGGACAAACCGAGTACAAGATCTAAAACATTTGCGTGTATTTGGTTGTAAAGCCATGGTACAGGTTCCACGTCAGAAAAGGAGAAAGTGGGATGCTAAAAGTGTTGAACATACTTTTATTGGATACTGTGAAGACTCGACAGATAATAATTGCTACAAATTATTAACAAAAAACAATAAAGTCATCAGAGCTAGAGACGTGATCTTTTTTGAAACATTTTCTAAACAGAAAGACTTAACAGAAGAAAATTTTGTTCCTTTGGAAAATATTTTATCTCCTGAAGATCCAAATTCTGCAATTTCTAAATCTGAAGAAATGCCCGTCTCTGTGGATGATGTTGAAGAAGAAACAGCGGATGAGCATGTCGATAATACTACTGTTGAACCCGCCGAATTCGTTGAAGAGCCTAGGTATCCTGTTCGCATCAGAAATAGAAAAGAATTCCCTGATTTTGTAACTTTCCAAGTTAAAACTGACTGCTTACCAATCGATCCAGTTAATGTGTCCGATGCACTCAGTAGAGCTGATGCTAACAAGTGGTATGAAGCTATGGAAGATGAATACAATTCTTTAATTAGCAATGAAACTTGGAAACTAGTTGATAAACCAGCAGATGGTTGTATTATACCCTGCAAGTGGGTATTTAAAGTAAAACTTGATGCTAGTGGTAATGTGACTAGATACAAAGCCCGATTAGTTGCTAAGGGATACAAACAAACCTACGGAATAGACTACGATGAAACCTTCGCTCCTGTAGTGCGAAAGGAAAGCTTAAGACTATTAATTGGTATAGCTGCTGAATATTATCTTAAAATAGATCACATGGATGTTAAAACAGCATTTCTTAATGGCGATCTTAAAGAAATAGTATACATGAGTCAACCAGAAAATTTTGTTAATGAAGAAAACTCCAGAAAGGTATGTTTACTGAAGAAATCCTTATATGGTTTGAAACAAGCTGCTAGGTGTTGGAACTGCAAAATTCATGAACATTTATTAGGCATAGGCTATAAACAATCACAATTTGAACCCTGTATATATCATAATCTGCAAAATGGTACTATAATGATTATAGCCCTATACGTTGATGATTTGATAATTTTGTATAACAATATGGAAGAAAAAGAACAACTCAAGAAACAGCTAACTACTTGTTTTAAAATGGAGGATTTAGGTAACATTAAATATTGCTTAGGCATAGAAATTATCAAGCAAGGGGAAGAGATTAGGTTAAACCAGAGAAAATATATATTGGATCTACTTGAGAAATTTCGTATGCAAGATGCTAAAGTAGCTCGTACACCTATAGAAACGAAACTGAAACTCATAGGTGGAAATAAAAATGGTGAATTACCTGATGTACCCTACCAAAGCTTAATGGGTGCTTTAATGTATTTGTCTACTTGACACGCCCAGACATTTCTTTCGCCGTTAGTGTACTTAGCCAATTTAATACCAATTATACCATGGAATTGTGGCAACATGGAAAAAGAATACTTCGTTATTTGAAAGGAACCCTAAATAAGAGTTTGGTATTCAAACCTTCAAGAAAAACACTTACTGGTTTTGTTGATGCAGATTGGGGTGGAAGCGACTTAGATAGACATTCTTACACTGGATTTATTTTTAATTATGGTAATGGACCAATTTCATGGAGTAGCAGAAAACAGCGATGTGTATCTTTATCGAGCACAGAAGCAGAATATGTTGCTCTTTCAGAAGGAGCCAAGGAATGTATTTTCTTAAAAAATTTATTGAAAGAACTTTGTGCAGAAGATGGAGTTGTAACGGTATACAATGATAACCAAAGTGCTATTAGCATGTCTGCTAATGCTACTAATCACAATCGCACAAAACACATCGATGTACGTTATCATTTTATACGTACCTGTATTTCTAATGAAGAATTTATTATTAAATACATGCCAACCACAGAGATGGCCGCTGATGTTATGACAAAAGGTCTACCATTAATAAAACACGAGAAGTGCCTTAGAAGTATTGGCATGATTTAAGAAGATGTTGCATTGTTGTAAAGTTATTTTATATTTTTGTTTTTCTTTAGGGGAAGTGTTGCAGATATTATCTATGGCTGCAGATATTTAAATCAGAACAAAAATATTACACTGTATATTATGTTGTTTTGTTATTTCTGATTGATGTATTTTTTGTCAAATATATAATTTTGTAAAAGTCTTGTCAAGATATTTATTATTTTTATAAACTCCTCTGGATTAAGCAATCCAATCCATTCCACCATCTGCAATACTATGTAGTACCTAAATTAAGCAAATAACGAAAGAATTAAACTCAAATCATTCTTGATATCTACAGAAATACTTGTACAGGTATTCCCTTATCTTTTTTTAGTCCAGAGATCGGGAGATGCTCCATTTTCGAATTTATAGATCTTTTACAAATAACTGATTCAAAAAGTTTTAAAGATGATTAGTCTACTCTACACTCTTAAACATTTAGATATTCTCCTCAATTTCTAAATATTGAAAGGAAAAAATATTTTTTTCTCTATTTCCATAGTTTTTATAATCGTTTATTTTATATAAAAAAATTTAGGATAATGAAAATATTTAATTTAAATAAACCATGAATATATTTAGCTGGAGTTCTCAAATTTATAGACAACTGTCACAAAGCCTCACATAGTCTGTCAAAAATGTACCATGCAGTCTGTAGTAACAATTTTTAGAACTAAGGTACTGCGCAAATACTACTAAACAGTTCTCTACCGCAAGTGGGAAGACACCGTTAGAAACAAGCCAATCTACATTTTACAAGAAAACCTAAATATTTTTATGCACAACCAGGTGATAAAGTCCAGATTATAAATACTTTTAGCGGGCGTAAAGTGCCCCTTTATCGCCCGCGGACTACTTTACCGTCCGCGAACTATTAGTATATTATTGAACGAGCGGGTAATGATGGCTATTACTCACGAGGACGAAGTTTTTACTACAAGTCGCAGTCGAGTAGTGTAATCATCCGACTGAGTAATAGTCATTACCCGCGAGTAGAATACTATATTTTTTCTATGATTATTAAATTAAATAATAGAAAAGATTTATGCAATATTTTATTTTATTTTTTTTTTTTCTAAAATTAATTGTGAAATAAGAATAGTTTTAAAAATTAACAGAAGCTTTTGAATCCAAATCAACAGTCGTAGTTATATTTCTACTAGTCAACTGGTTTTCCGTGTAGGTTGCAGTTGTGGTCGAAATTGTTGAAAATAATTATATAATGAAAGAAATAATTGAGTAATAAAAAAAAACTCACTGCATGAGCATGAGTAACCACTTACATTAATCAATAGAAAGTGGATGTATAAAACTTATATTGTTAAATATTCATAGAAAAAATTATATTTTTATTTCTTTCAAAAATTCACATCTAGTTTGTAAAATTATAGCTATTTATTAATAAACGATCATTAAAACGGTCGTGCATTAAATTTTATATATTTTATAATAAATTATCATTAAAAGTGTCGTGCATAAAATTGTGTATGTATTTCAAGCGTGTTAATAGCCCTCGCCTAGCGGTTCGAGCTCTAACTTACACGTTGCGGTCCATAAACGCCTATTATATGCCCTTGATACATAAATAACTATTTTGTTTGTACGAAATATTTAAAATTATGTCAATTCTAAGTCTTACTAACTCTGAAATGTTGAACGATTTTTCTTAAAAACTATATGAAAAATTTAAATTTCTCAATAATAAAAATAAATCTAAGTTAACCAGTATATACTTACCTACTTGCATTTAAAAGTTCTTAAATAGGTAATATATACCTAGATACATTAGAAATATTTCAAATTTAACTTTTTATTAAAACGTTAATGAAAATAGCAGTGCGTCTTGAATAGGTGTAGGCATTGATTAAAATATTGAAAACACTAGGTAGGTATAGTGGTAAAAATTAATTCTATTAAAATATTTAGTTTTGCAAAACAGATATAGTTTAAATTAGAATAAAAATAAAGGAGACCAGGTTAAAGCAGTGATAAGAGGTGAGAAAATCTGCGAAAATCAGGTTCCATATTGTTTTATCATCTGTCAAAAGTTTTACTATCGAACTTAGCTTGTGATACACAAAATAAATCTTGATATACCCTCACCTGTTAAATCATCCAACGACCGAGTCAAAACAACACCTATTTATATAAATTTACAACCATAATAATCAAACAACAATGTAAAAACCATCATCAACACCATCAAGTATCCGAAGACGCCGATACGACAATGCCGTCGCGGCGTCCAACTAAGCAAGCGTCGATTCAAAATGCGCCGACGCTTTAAACAACTGAACAATGGCGCCTACGATCCCTCCAATCGAATCTCCAGATTAACTCGACCAGTGAGGCAAAAGTAATACGTCAGATACGCCCATTCAAAATTTATCCGCTCTTATCATTTTTACCGATAAAAAATTATCTGCAACTTGTAAATATCCTCAATAAAAATTGGGCTAGGGTTAACATTTGTTGAAACTGTAGCGGGTAAATGTGGAGAAAGCAGAACGGACGGAGGAGTAGTTGATAGAGTTGAAGATGTGGAGAAATATGTTGATGCGTTAAGAACAGCGGCAGAAACGACTTCAAAAGATTATCATCGTTATATTAAGAGCGATGATCGGGTTTTTAGCTTATCACTGCCGCGCTCCCCACCACCGGGGCGAAGTGGGCGGGGTGGGTGAAACCCCGCCTTGTTGTACCTTGGATCAAGTCACCCTTGAACAAGAGAGTGACATGAGGCTGAAGCCAGTCTTCTGTATCCTTTCGGGTAGTGAAGCAGAGTAGATTTCTTACTAAAGAGCGCATTAAAGCACGTGGTTCTGCCGAAAAATCAACGGACCAAGGTGAATTATCGGGTAGTCAGGCGTAATAGGTGTACGCCCGCGAATTTAATCGAGTAGAATCAAGTTTGGTCGGGAGAATTGTTTGTTTCTGTCAACGATTATATTTGCTTGGTTGAGTTTTTGGTTTTGTCGTCGCGATTGGATTTTCAGTTTTTGGTGGTTGACTTGGTTTTTGAAAAATTGGTGCATGGTTTCGGTATACGGCTGAGTTTATGATTTAAAAAATACATTTTCGTAAAGGTAGGACATTCTTAAATATTTAATACACTCACTGATTTTGTCGTAAGCAACAAGATAACATCATTGTTGCCTAAATGAAATGGAATCATGCAGGAACGATTCTACATAATTTAAAATTCCAAAAAAATATGTTTAATGCAGAAGAAATGTAACTAGAAAAGTATAAATTTCGATTTACAACATATTATAATAATAATAATAATAATAATAATAATAATAATAAGAACAATATTTATTAATCGATAGCCAATGGTTGTTATTGAAGACATTGTATGAGTTCTAATTTCTAATAGAAATATAACTACAAAATGTTATAAGAAGGTATTATCAATTTCGATATTATGACGAATATTGACCAGTAGAAGTAAAAATTACAATGAAGGTTTGTTTCCAATATCAATATTCATTCTAAATAAAGCTTTTGGTAAATAAATAGAGGTTATAATCAAACTTTATTGAAATGTATAGGTACCTATAGATAATTATTATAAGATCTTATTTTAAAAATGTTTGTTAAACATTAATGTCTCAATAAAAATTAGGTATCTAATTTTAGATTTATGTAGGAATCAATACCTAATAATTTAAATTTACAAGAATATAAGGTTGGCATAAAAATTTAACAAATTATTATTATTATGAACCTATCTTGATATTGGGTTGAATTAATTTTGTCATTATGTTCTTTCAAAAAAGTAGGCATTTAAATACTTATTTTAATATCATGATATAAAATATATGATTTTGATAAATTTATTCGGCGGTATTTGATGAAAATATACTTTTATTTCATTGGGTATTTAGTTCCAATATATTATTTTAAAACAATTTCATTTATCATTTTAATAAAGCCATTTTTTATAATTAGGTATTCGTTATATGAAATATATTTAATTAGTTATATAAATTCATAATTTTATAATGAATTAACAATATTAAATTACCTTCCGCTGAATTGCAATTCGGGCTTCTGCACTATTTGAAAAATAACCGGATTTTCTTTCATTCCTAATTTTTATCTGCACAACGTGTTTGGATTTTCATAAATTTATTTTCTTCTTATTGATAATATTTGTGAAAACTAAAACCCAAAATCAAAAATAAAAAATAAATATTATGCCAATACCTATATTATTATAAAAAATGTATTTTATAATAAATCGCTATTATATAGCTATTCAGATTCAGTATTATTATTTACAGTTATGATATTATGAATCATGCATAAATGAATTTTACCGAGCACCAGACATAATAGAAGATATATAAATTTTAATTAATTTAATTGAAAAATATATAATTACTTTTTGCAGTTTATTTGTCAATAATTAAATATAAGTATAACTTATACAGGGTGACCCATAAATATAGCGACAAACATCTAATAGGTGGTATAGGGGACGTCCGAAAATGCTTGGCAATAAAGTAATAGACTGCATATGGAAATTATGAATACAACCTAATAGGTCCAAAAAATGCCTCATTAAATTATCAACAAACTAAAAATTTAACTGATATCGTTTAAAACATTTTTAACGTAAATAAAAATCTATATTTTTTATGAACTCGATATTTTTTGTAAACTTTAAAATTTATTAAGCAAAAAATGTCTAATTTGATGCTGATCACCCCTAAAAGTTTATTGCTATATTAAGGAACACTTTCAGGACAAGACATTCGTATCCAAGGGTCTCGGGTTCGAATCCCGCGGATGACAGGATTTTATAAATTAAATATTAATTTTAATGCATATGTAGGATTTTCCACTCGACCATTCACTGTTGTGTACCAATTAACAGTGTTGTTCCTAAAGTGGCACTAGGAAACAGTACACAGCCTACATAGAACACAAGGCTAATAACCATAGCAGTCGATACCGACGACACCGACAAAAAACTCGATTCAGATGTATTATTATTATTTGAATGCATTAATATAGGATTTGAATTGCTTTTAAGTTAATAATCTTGATCTACAATGCACAAAGAATTGGTTTTACCTCACTTTTCTATTTCCTTTACATTTACGTATTTTGTTGGTAGATTAATGGACATTTTAAGGAAGTACCTAACTGTACCAAAAATATTGTTTATTAAAGGTAGATAAACTTAGGAATTGTTTTCTCCCGGAAGATTTCCTTATAGATTGCTTGAAAACGCAATATTTCAAAATCCACATCAACATGCTGTCCCTGTTCTTGCTAATAACATATAGAGTATTTAGTATTTATACTTTATATATTTATTTAGTATTTGTTTATATTATTTTTTTCTTACACTTCAATCCATAAAAAATAAAATTCCTCAAATAAAAGTTTCTCTTTACAAATTTTAGAATTTTACTTTTGAAATCTATTTATATTTATTTTTAAATAGTCACCAATATTGGTTTAAATTAATTTATAGATAAAGATCTTTACATACTCTATTCGTAATATAATAATCATCAAACTCTTCATATTATTTAGATTTAAAAATATTTATAAAGTATCTATAAACCATTTAGAAATAGTTTTAAATACTATCATATTAGCAGTGTTTGTTTTACAAAATCCATTTACATATGACTAACAATTCAGTAAACATTTATTTGTTTGTTTGTTTATTTGTTTGATCTTTTATCGATTTTATGAAAACGTTTGAATGCCATATGTCGTGCAATATTCGTCCAAGCAAAAGCTAGTTTATGTACTAAATTATAGATACCTATTTGAAGGCTTTTAAGACTAAATAAACCATTTTTTTTTAAATTACAACAAAGTGGAAAAGTAAATTTAGATGATATTTATTTTCAAGAACATTTATTTGAATTATATTATTTATTTTATTTATTATTATGAGCGAATAAAGATCTATTTATACCATTAAACAGCTTAATAATAATAACAGTTTGATCAAATGCAACTAATTTCTGCAATTTTGGCCATCATCAGGTTTAACGTTAAGAAACGCTGGCAAAAATAACAAAGATTACAAAGACCATTCAGACAAGGAGAACAGAAGGTCTATAATGAAAATAAAGACAATGCTCTCCTTAAAAATTTAACAGCTATAGTAACAATTATGTTATTAATATTTTATTGAAGAGCCAATGGCTGAATACTTTCTTCTTGGCATAGACAAAATTATATGTCGCATATTTTAGAAACCTACAAACTCTTCCCAAGGTTATGTAGAAAGCTTGACATTGATTTTTGTGTAAAAAATATTATTATTATATAAAACTGTACCTACCGTTTTTCAGTTTTTATTGTAAATTTAATCATTTTCACAATTTGTTACACATGTCAAATAAAATAATATATTTCATAAATACCTCTTATTGACAAATAAAACAAGTGAACTATAATAATTATTTTATAAGATTAGTCCCATCACAATTCATAATACCTATTACACAGATACAAACTAGAATAAAAGATATATAATGCGTAGCGTTCTAAATTATATTCTTCACATATTAACAGACTCCCCTTAACCCCCATTTTTAATCAGATTTTTTCAGAATCAATAGGCTTCATCCCCTTGTAGAGCTTGATTTTTCCAAAACTTTCAATTTGATATTCTTCTCCGTTTTTTAGTTAGATTTTTTTTAAATATTTCAACCCCCTTAACCCCCATTTTTATTCAAATTTTTTTTGACAATCAATAAGCTTCATCTTTTTATAGAGCTTGATTTTTACTAAAAATGTCAAGTCGATATCATTTTTAGATTTTGAGTTAGGATTCTTTTTTATAATTTAACCCCCAATTTATTCAATTTTTTTTTCAAAAATCAATAAGCTTTATCTTCTTATAGAGCTTCCTTTTCACTAAAATTATTTAAAATTTAATTTAGGATTTTCGTTTATTTCAACATATGACGTAAAAGTATTAATGCAAAAGTGCGGACACTTTTAGTATCGTCATACCAGCATCTCCTCTTTATTCTATATCAATGATTGGTAATATTCATATGCCCCACCCTACTTTGTGACGTTGATTATGTGTGATGCACAAGATAACGTGATTTAAGTGATTTTAAGCAGGCACATTGTATTTCACTAATCTGTTGACGTGGTCTCTTTTTAGCTACAGGCTTTCACGAAAACATCTTGCTCCCTCGAGCTCACTCAGAATAGTGCAACACGGAGACGCGATTAGTCAAACCGCAGTGGCTTACCCAAAAATTTATATTAACATGAAGACAATAAAATTATTAAAATTGAATTTATATTTTTATGTCATTTATTTTAAAATAATGTGTTTTTATGAAATGTATTTGGGTGTTCACTGCACAAATTAACCAATGGAGAAACCGGCCCTAATCATGACTTATTATTAACAATTTTAAATTTCATAGGATTCGAGAAAAAAAACTTTTTTTAGAAATTATTTAACAGGACGGTCCAAAGATTATTATTTAATGAAATCAAATCAGATGGTGGTCTTATAATGCGTGGAGTGACGCAGGGATCTATTTTAGGACCTTTACTCTACACCATTTATACTCATAATGTGGTATCAGTTATAAGTAGATGCCGCGTCCATATGTATGCAGATGATACCTAATTATACTATTTCTTTAACCCGTCTAAGATTAGTACAATTCTCATCTAGTCAAGATCTTGTAATTAACACGTCAAATTTAACGGTTTTACATTTCGAACATAAAACTATGTTTGTAATATCAATATTAATAACAACTTACTTCCAGTATCTGACTTTGCTAAAACTTTAGGTGTACTAATGGATAATAAACTTAAATTTACATTTCTCATATCCTGCAAAAATAATATGGAAAATAAGCAAGTCTTAAATTCAAATTTAAAAAAAGGAAGTCTGTCACTCTATGGTATTCTCTTGCATATTAGTGCGCTTATGTTTACGGTCCCTGCCTTGACTGTACAGAAAGAAGCAGACTCCGAAAATTGCAAAATTCTAACGGCATCCATAAATTTGATAGAATTTCTCACATCTTAAAAAGAGCTAAATGGCTAAATATAGAAAATTGTAGAAAAG